GCCTCATGGTCCTGACAAAGTGTTGTTATTTTTCGGGTCGATCAGAAATCCAATATGGCCGCCACGGCCGCCATTTTGAAAACCTATTTCAAACTTAAAGTCAAGTTCTGCTGGACCGATTGAACTGAAAGTTGGTAGGAATGATCGCCTCATGGTCCTGACAAAGTGTTGTTATTTTTCGGGTCGATCAGAAATCCAATATGGCCGCCACGGCCGCCATTTTGAAAACCTATTTCAAACTTAAAGTCAAGTTCTGCTGGACCGATTGAACTGAAAGTTGGTAGGAATGATCGCCTCATGGTCCTGACAAAGTGTTGTTATTTTTCGGGTCGATCAGAAATCCAATATGGCCGCCACGGCCGCCATTTTGAAAACCTATTTCAAACTTAAAGTCAAGTTCTGCTGGACCGATTGAACTGAAAGTTGGTAGGAATGATCGCCTCATGGTCCTGACAAAGTGTTGTTATTTTTCGGGTCGATCAGAAATCCAATATGGCCGCCACGGCCGCCATTTTGAAAACCTATTTCAAACTTAAAGTCAAGTTCTGCTGGACCGATTGAACTGAAAGTTGGTAGGAATGATCGCCTCATGGTCCTGACAAAGTGTTGTTATTTTTCGGGTCGATCAGAAATCCAATATGGCCGCCACGGCCGCCATTTTGAAAACCTATTTCAAACTTAAAGTCAAGTTCTGCTGGACCGATTGAACTGAAAGTTGGTAGGAATGATCGCCTCATGGTCCTGACAAAGTGTTGTTATTTTTCGGGTCGATCAGAAATCCAATATGGCCGCCACGGCCGCCATTTTGAAAACCTATTTCAAACTTAAAGTCAAGTTCTGCTGGACCGATTGAACTTAAAGTTTGTAGGAATGATCGACTCATGGTCCTGACAAAGTGTTGTTATTTTTCGGGTCAATCAGAAATACAATTTGGCTGCCATGGCCGCTATTTTGCTACTAAGTTCTAATAGGCCGATCTCACTTAAAATTGGTCTAGGAATGATCAGCTCATGGTCCTGACAAAGTTAAGTTAACATTATACTATTTTTTACTCAAATTGGTACATATTTCAACCACAAAAATAAATACTGTAGACTCAGGTGACCGTTAAGGCCCATGGGCCTCTTGTTTAAGATTGTCGTGGAGTGTAGTAATGAAGTGTCCTGTTGTAGGTAATAAACACGTTTTGATGCAGTATGATCTTTGATATACACCGAGAAATTGTTAAAGTACAAAGGAATTTCAAATGAACACTGTGTTCTTCTTGACACTAATTGTCTTTAAAAGCCGAATTATGTGCGTGTTTATACTTCGCTTTATATTTATAGGGTTGCTTATGTGCTCATTTTCTGTTTTCAGTGAACTTTATCGAATTTATTAGTTATTTCTCAGTAGCTGTGAGGCAAGACCGTTACATGTTTTGTATGTTACATGTTAATTTATCAACATCAACATTCTTTTAAGTTATGTGGGATAAATTATGATGTTTCACAGATTATTTAAATCATATGTGCTGAGTAAGTACTGGTGTACCAGCCACTTACACGCATTGTCGCCGACTCCGGCAATGGCGATATTTTAACAGATCAACAACAATATTACGGAACAGCCTTCCTACGTCCATCGGGATATTGATACCGTTAGCCGTTTTCAATAAATCATGGAAAATCCATCTGTTCAATACAGCCTCTAATTAGGTAGTTCGAAATGAATAACATGTTTCACCATGTCCTGTTCTACTGGATATTTTGATGCTAGTTTTTGTCTTTATTTTAGCTTAACGAACGAAGATATTTGTGTTAAGCGCGTAAGGGATGTTTTTGTAAAAGATAGAGCGCTGAAAACATTCAGTATATGTCACTCCCCAAAAATTGAAGTATAAAATGGGTATAAATAAGATGAACAAACACATTTAGAACTAGTAGTTACATCATATATTACTGCACAAATCAGATTAGTTTATCTGAAATTTAACAGAAGCGGCCTTAAATTGATTTGATTGAACTGTTGTCAGAATATTTATTAATTTGGTTTGGATTTGGATATTGAAACCGAGTTATTTTCTACTTTTTTTTTTATAAATTAACTGTCAAATCATCATGCAAGAAATTAAACTTATTTAAATTCATTTCGTCTCGCCGCGACGAATTAGCGGAAGCGAGACTTAGGCGTTGGTTTTCCGGCGGCGGCGGCGGCGGCGGCGGCGGCGGCGGCGGCGGCGGCGGCGTCAACTTAAGTTTTAGCGTTTAACTTAGTCTCACTGAAAGTAGAACATAGATGCATCTTACTGACTTAGGTAGTACATCTCAACTCATGCATCAAATGCTGGATGCGGCATACCTTTCATGGTCCATTGACTTTGTTAGCATCTCCATCAACATAATTGTTATTGCTTTTAAGTTAGTTTCTCTAGTATATGCATTGCCATGATGGTCAAAGCGGGACAGAGGCGAGACAACCCGAACGGCTTGTTATTATAGCGGGTACGGTATACATACATGTATATCATGTACTGAAGCACGTGTATTCCTTACTTAGTGCAAATGTACCAAAGAATATCAAGATTCAACATGCTTTTAAATACTTGTTTGATGTCAGAGTACATACAAGTGATCTGAAAATAGAAAACATTTGCTTTTAACTGGAAAGATACTATCTTATTACGTAAACTCAATGTGAACAAAGGTCTGTTAATATTGAAAGCCAGACCTGTACAAGATTAGCCGTTAGTGGTCGCCACACACATACAGCTGATTTACAACTGACTAAGGGTGGCAGGTTTATGTCGCGATTATACAAGTCACGGAACCTTTATCATTAAACATAAATATTTATACACCACATTTTTCAATTTCCAGGACATATGTAGGTCTATGCATCCTATAGCGACAACCTACCATTACAGATCACTCACTTGTATGTTTTAGACCATTTTGAACAAGTGGCTTTTTTTATATATATATAATTTTTTTTTATTAATGAAATAAAATAAAAACGATTAAATAATAACAATAAATACAAAACTGATTTTATTGTCATAAGACTTTCAGCCAAGAAAAAAAATCTGCTTCACAGAATCTTGATTCTCGAAGATTAGTCACAAATAGAAGATACAGTTCCTGTGAAACTATAACACATACTAAATGTATCTGTCATCATGTCTGTAGAAAGTTCAGGCCACAACTACTTGTAGATTGGTTGACGTTCACGATAAGCTGACGGCCCATTGCTTTGTCTTTGAGAGTTTTCATCTTGTTGAGTTCCAAATACTATAGTTAGTAAATGGTATTGAGGTAAACGCCAATGTATAGCAGTATTAGACTAAACTTAATGTATTGGGATATGGTTAATATTCAAAATTTAAAGTTTTGGTTTAATAATGCTGTTTCCAAATATGTATGCATGAACATGCTGAAGCATTAATTCCTCTTTAGTATAGATTAAATCAGTAGTACCAGAGCACTCAGACGGGTATTTACTAGTTTTCAACAGTCAGTAATCATGAACCCGCTCTCGTGCTCAAATTCAAATTCAGAACTCAAGCCTAATTTCTTTTGTCAGTGATAGATCGATAAAAAATCATTTTTTGTCAATGATTTGTAAGAAATTTGGAAAGACTTTAAGACGAATACTGTTTTCAATGTTTTGACGGTGTTAGACGTCGTGAGGCACAGTATTTTATGAATTCACGGTTTCATAAATACAGGCCCTCTATTTGTCACCAATACCACATATAGGCATAGAATCGTTGTCTGAAAGTCAAAATGAACATATTTCTTTTTAGTCCCCACCGGTACCGTTTGGGGAGGGGGCATAGGTTTGCACTTCGTCCGTCCTTCCGTCGGATAAATTCTTTTTCTCGGGACACATCTTCTACTCCCGGAGTAACCAGATTTGATGTACAAGGACCTATGACCTTTACTTTTGAAAATGCTTGTCCGGTGCATATCTTGTGTACTATTTCACATGGAGTAATCAGTTTTGGTGTACAATGACATCTTGGGATGGCGGAGTGCAGAGTGCCATAATTAGTTCAATGTGATCTATGACTTGAACTTTGACCTTAATTAGCCTTTGAAAATGCTTGTCCGGTGTATATCTTGTGTACTATTTCACATGGAGTAATCAGTTTTGGTGTACAATGACATCTTGGGATGGCGGAGTGCAGAGTGCCATAATTAGTTCAATGTGATCTATGACTTGAACTTTGACCTTAATTAGCCGTTGAAAATGCTTGTCCGGGGCATATCTTCTGTACTATTTCACCTGGAGTAATCAGATTTGGTGTACAAGGACATCTTGGAATGACAGAGTGCAAGAATTAGGTCACTGTGACCTATGCCTTGACTTTTGCCTTTACTTTGGAAAGAATTTCTCCAGGGCATATCTTCTGTACTATTTCACCTGGAGTAATCAGAACTGGTGTAGAAGGACATCTTGGGATGGCGGAGTGCAAGAAGTAGGTCACTATGACCTTACTGTGACTTATGCTTTGACGTTTGACCTTACCTTTAACAAAACATTTTTTACATTACAAAGATGCTTTTTATGTTGTATTATGTATCAGGATACTTTCTTAATAGCAGGTACATACGTGTACTGTTTGTTTAATATATAAATCATTACCGGTGGGGGACTATCGATTACCTTGCAATACGTTACTTTGTTGAAAAATTCTTTGGTTTTATTATAGCATTATCCTTTTACAAAATTGCAGTGAACTAACGAAGACAGTACATTAGTAGATTGTTGAAAGAGCATACAACATGTCGTTGTACAGCAACCAAATACATTGTAACATCTGTCCTCCTTATGACGGTAAAGGTAACGTTTTGATGATCGTGGATAAATAAATAAGATTTAGTTTGAAAGGTACAATTATGCCAATTTCAGTTGAATGAAAGAATTAAAACATTGAAAAACTAACTGTCACTTTAGCCGCCTTGCGCCCAGCATGTTTACCATTACATTATACCACTGTAGTGTAGCCTGCACGTTGAGAAAAGTTGGGACTGTTTAAAAGATGGCGGCTGCCAAAACAAGTAGAAGGTGAGTCCTCAGAACATGTTCGATTTTTCTACTTGAAAACATTTTAGCGATCAACGGATGCACTGAAGCAAATGATAATAGATAAGACAGTTATGAAACACTAAAATTTCACTCCGGAAAAATATCTTTATTAAAACTCAATGTTTGCAAGGTGACGGGAGCCGGCAATCGGGACGTTCAGTCGACGACGAGTTTGAATTTGAACTGGTCGCAAAATGTCCTTTACACAAGTAGTAAAATGCATTGTAAAGAGGTGACCCTTGATATGGGTTAATAAGTTAAGAAGTTAGAAGCCTTTACAGATGAATACTAATCTAAACTGGTCGCAAAATGTCCTGTAAACCAGAAATATGCATTTTAAAGAGGTGACCTATATTTATATTTGTGCGGTTTGGACACTCCGTACCTTACGACTGTGTACGGTTGGACATTGAATGCAAAGTTGAAAAAATGTACGGTTGGGACTGCATATTCGTCAATAGCAATTGGGACTTCCATTACTGAAATGTTGTTAGTCTTTATAATTGCAGATACAAAATAACACATTAGACACACTGCAGATTTTCATCCCCAAAGCTACATGCGTAACAGTAGTGCGTCTCCATTGGTAAAAATGTGGTTATTTTTTTGTATCTGCAATTACAAATACAAACAAACATTTTAGTGATGGAAGTCCCAACCGCTCAATCGTTGTGGGAATATGCAGTCCCAACCGTACACTTTTACAACTGTGCATCCAATGTCACAACCGTACGCAGTCGTAAGTATAAATCTAGGTCACCTCTTTAAAATGCATCTTACTACTTGTGTAAAGGACATTTTGTGACCAGTTCAAATTCAAACTCGTCATCGACTGAACGTCCCGATTGCCGGCTCCCGTCACCTTGCAAACACTGTATTTTAATATAGATGCTTTCCTGGAGTGGAATTTTAGTATTTCATAACTGTCTTATCTATTATCACTTGCTTCAGTGCATCCGTTGATCGCTAAAATGTTTTCAAGTAGAAAAATCGACAGCCGCCATCTTTTAAACCGTCCCAACTTTTCTCAACGTACAAGCTACACTACAGTGTATACGGCACAATCAAACAATGACATTTACGTGTGCTAGAGAATGTCAATGCTTGTCAATACTACCAATTAGTACATTATGTAAGATAAGATATTTTTAACTCACTTGAAAATCTCAAATTAAATGTAAAAACTTTGTAAGGTCCTATATCATATATAGGCTTATTTCTTATATAAATGTTTACCACCATGAATATCAAAAGATATTGATGTGGAAATAGAGTCCACTGATATCCTATATATTTCTATTTAACATATTCATGTATTACAGCAGGCACGACAGATGATGGATCACAACATTGATATTTATAACGACAAGGTAGTTACAATAGTCATCGAAGTTGCAAAATAGAACTTACTTTATTGCGCTAAGATTTCACAGTCGCATGTTTTATCGCATGCAGACTGAACATCCCATGATGTATCCCCCTCACAAATCTCCCATAAGGAGATAAAAATAACCCTTAACTAAGTATACCTCGTAATTCATTTAAATGTTGACAATGCAGGGAGTAGTTTAACCACACTAGGTCACACCAGATTGATGTGTTTCTACACTGTAAACAAGGTTTTTGTTTAAACATTTAAAGTACAGTCGTCATTATGATTTGGACATGTTTTAAAAATAGTTACCTACGGCCGTTTTTATTATCTACAGTTAATTAACACACGAATGAGTAGATACCAGAGTAGGTACGGCATACTGAAGGTCGCAAGTACGGTAAGGAGGGACAGGGAAGGGAAGGGAAGGGAAGGGGGGGGNTACGACCCTATAGTCTTAAGCCTAATTGATAAATACCTGTTGAGGTAGGGACTTGTGTCAGATGTCAAATGTTGTCGTAGACTTGTGATACTGTCATTAACATTTACGTGAGAAATTTTTAAAAAAGTACTATTGTAAAAAACCGAGCATGTTTAAATTAATTCAGTTATTTAAAGGACAAAACACAAATGAATTAGCAAAATTGGCCAAATACATTAAAGATGCAAATTCAAGAAGAGCTTTATTAACATAAGTAGTTATGCTCTCCGAGTGTTTTGTCTCGTCTGTGTATTTATTAGTATTTTCGATATTTGTCAATGTTATGAGAAAGTATATATATATATATATATATATCATGTATATGTGTTACACTGATGAGTCGCAAGACTCAAAGTTAATATCAAACTTGAACTGTCATTAACTATACCGTCTGTGGTGTTGTCGGAGTTATTACTATCTGTTGTACATCTGATGACATGACACATATAGCTATCGTCATGGCGATGACGGTAACTTATACATAGGTAATCACAGAAGCGGAAAGAAAACAATGTGTATACTGTCAGAATGTATGTCATTGCGTTTAGATGACAAATGACAAACATCAAGTATTAAATGCATTTCTAGACTGCGGACAAATCATCATCCGCGTCGGTGCACATGTCTCTTTCCCTTTTCTTTTCCTATGAAATTGACCCAGACCGACTTGTTTGTTTACGACGGACGCAAGTCGAATATATGCAGATGTCGATGTAAAAGTCCCCGATTTTCGATATCGAAGGTCCATCCCTGTTTGTATATAACGGAATCATATATTTAAAGTTGAGTGTTGTAGATATGAGTACCAATCTAGTAAATTTGTCGGTCCTTATGTTTATATTGATGTGTTTTCCGACGTTCTGAATCCTGACTAAAATTAAACTAGTATTATAAAATTATTGAAGATATTTCAGTAATTTTAATGAAATAGATTGTTTTCCGAGTTTGCAAGAAGACGTATTGGCTAATAACACACATACGAATATAATAAATCTTAAGGAATTACTGAGTTCACATGAGGTATCACTAGCACAGCGACAGTAAGAGAGTCTCCCTTTCGCCAATAAATTATGCATATGACTTTTGTATCAAGACATATTGCTTGGGATCAATCATTTACGAGGAAAACATCTCTAAATTCGTACACTCAGTTTCTGTGAAGTCATCTAGGTGTAAATATTGCTGTATAAATATCAAGAAAAACTAGTTTTGATTATAACGTTGCAGTAGGGTGATAAACATGAGGTGGCGCAAAACGTAAGTTCGGTTTTCATTTTAAACATCTTCCTTTAAAATGTGGGAATAAAATTATTTTTATGTACAATTTAAAGAATTTTAATCTTTTGTGACTGTGGTATTTGTACAATATTCAAGCGATTAAGAATTAATAATTAAACACATCAATAACCCATCAGCGATAAAAATGTCTTAAGACGTCATCGTACAAAAAAACACACTTATTGATCAATAACTAATCAGTATTGATCAGAAACCATTCGCTTTTCAATTCTGTCAATGTTTTTTTTTTTTTATCAATGGTCCATATTTGATGCAAATCTATCGTTTACCAATGTTCGAGCAATAAGAGGTTGAAAAGGGTTATTATTAAAAGTTCAATAATGGTAATTATTCCATATATAATAATATTTACCACGTTAATACATATATATTATTTAATAGTAAAATAATCTGTGGGCTGGTGACTTGAAGTAAGTTTTAGTATTAATGACTTAATAAAGATGTACTGCATACTATTAGCTAATTCATTATCAATCTATCATTGTTTATATAATGATACTATATATCATGCTTGACTGAGCTTAATGCCTTTCTCCTACATATATCATACAACATGTATGGATATAGTAATATAGCATAAATATAACATACATCATACAATATATATGCCAAAATATGGGAAAACCGTTACATGAAAAATATCCATTTATCTTCGAAATCGAAGGGTTACAAACAGAAGATATGGCATTTGTTTTGATCAGGGACCCTTGGATACAGAAGACGGTTTTCAGTTCGTTCCTCCGTGCCCTAGACAAGAGATAATTTGGCTAACACGAGGCCAGTAGGAAAATACTTACATACTCGTGAAGCCATGCTTGATTATTATTGTGAAAGAAAAACAGATTTAAACGATTTTTTCCAAAAGTCATGAAGTTATGAAGATATGATATGAAGAACAGGACACACTTTCACTACAGGTCGTAAGTCAACACGTAGACGTAACTAACGTCTAAATCAAGTTTCACTAAAAGTCGTGTAAGCCTACGTGTGCCCTGAGGTTCGCGGAAGATTAAACGTAACTTACGACAACAAGATGGCATTTGTTTTTATTTTTCACCGTAACTTAAATCGAGCTAACCTGAGGAGAGAGCGGATTTTCCGTGATAGGAGCCAACCGCTAGACATGATCAGGGACCCTTGGATACAGGAGACGGTTTTCAGTTCGTTCCTCCGTGTCCTCGACAAGAGATAATTTGGCGAACACGAGGCCAGTAGGAAAATACTTACATTCTCATGCAGCCATGCTTGATTATTATTGTGAAAGAAAAACAGATTTAAACGATTTTTTCCAAAAGTCATTACACTAAGGTAAGCTAGGACTTAAATAGGATTGACTTCCGGTGGCTCTCGGAGATAGTACAAGTCGAAAATAGAACGGGACAAACACCTTTTGAGTTATATCAATAGTGCAGGATCCAGGTACGGTTTCTGGGAATCGGGACAAGCCCTTACCCTCCAAACAAGCTTGGACATTTCCTGTAGTATGTTATTTCCACATGTGTCTTTTGCTCCCCACCCAATCTCAGGGGATTTGGATTCCCACCTCTGATAAAAAAAAAAATGGATTTTGTAAAATGGACGGTTTGTTTGGATGGGTTGGCTAAGTAAGGTCATTGACTAGTCTGACCAGCTCGCGCGGTGAGACCCAATGTTGACCTTATAGTATTAATTGATTTATTTTCACCCGTGATTAGGTAAATAGTTGATTAGCTCTCGTAGACATTTCCGCCTGGACAGTGGAAGCGCACAGGTGTGTCACCCTAAACAGTTATATTCTTTGTTGTAATGTTTAATACGGTAAAAATCGAATTCACTGTGTAAGATTGACTGACCTCTTCATCACGCTACATCCACAGGTGAGGTGACTGATATGGAAGGGAGACGACAGGGCAATAGGGGCCTTCAGGTAAATATTTAAATTCTTTTTTTTACCTTATAACATGTTTTCACCTGTAATTATTACCTGTCTATGTGATCTGATGGAATGAAACCCGTCTAAACCGGGCATCTTTAACGGACAGGTTTCTCAAAGAATATATTTTATATCCGGAATATAAGCATTTAGAAGTATACAGTGTTCGATTTAAGTTTGTATGACTGTTTTTAAAGCATAGGAAATATTACTGATATAGAAATTCAAATATTTAAGATTCTGGGCATAATTTGACTTGGTGCTTGATCAATAATATGAATAACATGTATTACAAATCCAAAGAAAGATTCAAGTCTAATCAGGTAATAATGTATACAGAGAACATACACAGATTCTTTTTCTCTATAGACCCTGGCCCAAGGGTCGCTGGCCCTCGCCCGCACACACGCCACGGAGGCAGACCTAGGGAACATCGAAAGTCAGCTAGAGAAAGAAATAGCAAGAGAGGAAGCAGCGTCCAAATCGGCTAAACCACTGGCCAGGTAAATACAGTTTCCAAATCGATTAAACCACTGGCCAGGTAAAATCAGCGTCCAAATCGATTAAACCACTGGCCAGGTAAAATCAGCGTCCAAATCGGCTAAACCACTGGCCGGGTAAACTCAGGGTTCAAATCGGCTAAACCACTGGCCAGGTAAACTCAGCGTCCAAATCGGCTAAACCACTGGCCAGGTAAACTCAGCGTCCAAATCGACTTAACCACTGGCCAGGTAAGCTCAGCGTCCAAATCGGCTTAACCACTGGCCAGGTAAACTCAGGGTTCAAATCGGCTTAACCACTGGCCAGGTAAATTCAGCGTCCAAATCGGCTAAACCACTGGCCAGGTAAACTCAGCGTCCAAATCGGCTAAACCCCTGGCGAGGTAAACTCAGGGTTCAAATCGGCTAAACCACTGGCCAGGTAAACTCAGGGTTCAAATCCGGTATAGGTCGCTCAGATCAGAGGTAAAATACTAAGAAAAGGGCAGAGGTCAAGGAAAGATCGGGTAAAGATAGCAAAGATCATGGATAAATTAAGATGATAAAACGCTTTGGTCCCGGTACTAAAAGTCTCTGGCTTTTTGTCTCCTTTTTATTTCGGTAGTTACCGGTTCACAACAACTAACCCGGCTTCCAGCATCTCCATTACTCATCTTGACGTACTCCGTAGATATCGCCCCAGTTTTACTTTATGGAGTGGCAACCAGTTCCCTCCCGATCCTTAGGCCCGTGTCAGTTTCTCTCATCCTACTTCCGGCCCCCAGCTCCAACTTACTTGCGGGTTACCCTCACATCCCGGCACTTTTGTCAACGCCCACACTCCAAAGCCCATTCATCCAAGCTTCTTTGGGGACCATTGAGACCGCCCCATTCTCCAAAGTCTCCTTTTAAATATACCTTACAGCACTTTAAGTTTCTTTGTCCGTCCCTCCACTCTATTACACTGTAACGTTTTTTCATGTATACAATATTTGACTCTGTCTAAAATGAAAATCTTTTTTAAAGACATTATACAAATATTATTGTCATTGTAACAGAGTTCGGCACAAAGGACAGAAATTCCTACACACCAAGCACGTGCTGTTGGTGATCGTCGGCCTTAACGTCCTCGACTGTATTCTGGTATTGGGGGAGCTAATCCTCGACGTCCACTTCATCGTCGGTAAGTTACCGAGTAAACACTTCATCGTGGGTAAGTTACCGAGTAAACTCTTTATCGTCGGTAAGTTACCCAGTAATAACTTCATCGTCGGTAAGTTACCCAGTCAACACTTCATCTTCGGTAAGTTACCGGGTAAACACGGCATCGTCGGTAAGTTACCGGGGAAACAATTCATCATCGGGAAGTTACCCAGTAAAAACTTCATCTTCGGTAAGTTACGGGGTAAACACTTTATCGTCGGTAAGTTACCGAGAAAACACTTCATCGTCGGTAAGTTACAGAGTAAGCACCTCATCGTCGGTAAGTTACCGGGGAAACAATTCATCATCGGGAAGTTACCCAGTAAAAACTTCATCTTCGGTAAGTTACCGAGTAAACACCCCATCGCCGGTAAGTTACCGAGTAAACACTTTATCGTCGGTAAGTATTGTCATTGTAACAGAGTTCGGCACAAAGGACAGAGATTCCTACACACCAAGCACGTGCTGTTGGTGATCGTAGGCCTTAAAGTCCTCGACTGTATTCTGGTATTGGGGGAGCTAATCCGCGACGTCCACTTCATCGTCGGTAAGTAACCCAGTAAACACTTCATCGTTGGTAAGTTACCGAGTAAACACTCCATCGTCTGTAAGTTACCGAGTAAACACCCCATCGTCGGTAAGTTACCGGGGAAACAATTCATCATCGGGAAGTTACCCAGTAAACACTAATCGTCGGTAAGTTACCAAGTAAACCCTTCATCGTCGGTAAGTTTCCGGCTAAACACTTCATCGTCGGAAAGTTACCGAGTAAACACTCCATCGTCTGTAAGTTACCGAGTAAACACTTAATCGTCAGTAAGTTACCCAGTAAACACTTTATCATCGGTAAGTTACCCAGTAATAACTTCATCGTCGGTAAGTTCCCGAGTAAGCACTTCATCGTCCGGAAGTTACCGAGTAAACACTCCATCGTCTGTAAGTTACCGAGTAAACACCCCATCGTCGGTAAGTTACCGAGCAAACACCTCATCGTCGGTAAGTTGCCAAGTAAACGCCTCATCGTCGCTAAGTTACCGAGTAAACACTTCAGGTCGGTAAGTTACCGGGTAAACACGGCATCGTCGGTAAGTTACCCAGTCAACACTTCATCTTCGGTAAGTTACGGGGTAAACACTTTATCGTCGGTAAGTATTGTCATTGTAACAGAGTTCGGCACAAAGGACAGAGATTCCTACACACCAAGCACGTGCTGTTGGTGATCGTCGGCCTTAACGTCCTCGACTGTATTCTGGTATTGGGGGAGCTAATCCTCGACGTCCACTTCATCGTCGGTAAGTAACCCAGTAAACACTTCATCTTCGGTAAGTTACGGGGTAAACACTTCATCGTCAGTAAGTTTCCCAGTAAACACTTAATCGTCGGTAAGTTACCCAGTCAACACTCCATCCTCGCCCCCTTACTGAGTAAACACTTCATCGTCTGTAAGTTACCAACACTTCATCGTCGCTAAGTTAACGAGTAAACACTTCATCGTCTGTAAGTTACGGGGTAAACACTTCATCGTCAGTAAGTTTCCCAGTAAACACTTAATCGTCGGTAAGTTACCCAGTCAACACTTCATCTTCGGTAAGTTACGGGGTAAACACTTCATCGTCGCTAAGTTACCGAGTAAACTCTTAATTGTCGGTACGTTACCCAGTAAACACTTCATTATCGGTAAGTAACTGAGTAAACACTTCATCGTCAGTAAGTTTCCCAGTAAACACTTAATCGTCGGTAAGTTACCAAGTAAACCCTTCATCGTCGGTAAGTTTCCCAGTAAAAACTTCATCGACGGTAAGTTTCCGGCTAAACACTTCATCGTCGGTAAGTAACCCAGTAAACACTTCATCTTCGGTAAGTTACGGGGTAAACACTTCATCGTCAGTAAGTTTCCCAGTAAACACTTCATCGTCGGCAAGTTACCGAGTAAACACCTCATCGTCGATAAGTTACCGAGTAACCACTTCATCGTCAGTAAGTTACCGGGTAAACAATTCATCATCGGTAAGTTTCCCAGTAAACACTTAATCGTCGGTAAGTTACCAAGTAAACACTTCATCGTCGCTAAGATACCGAGTAAACACTTCATAGTCGCTAAGTTACCGAGTAAACACTCCATCGTCTGTAAGTTACCGGGTAAACAATTCATCATCGGTAAGTTTCCCAGTAAAAACTTCATCGGCGGTAAGTTTCCGGCTAAACACTTCAACGTCGGTAAGTTACCGAGTACACACTTCATCATCGCTAAGTTACCGAGTAAACTCTTTATCGTCGGTAAGTTACCCAGTAAACACTAATCGTCGGTAAGTTACCCAGTCAACACTTCATCTTCGGTAAGTTACGGGGTAAACACTTCATCGTCGCTAAGTTACCGAGCAAACACCTCATCGTCGGTAAGTTACCCAGTAATAACTTCATCGTCGGTAAGTTTCCGGGTAAACCCTTCATCGTCGGTAAGTTACAGAGTAAGCACCTCATCGTCGATAAGTTACCTAGTAAACACTTCATCGTCAGTAAGTTTCCCAGTAAACACTTCATCGTTGGTAAGTTACCGAGTAAACACTCCATCGTCTGTAAGTTACCGGGCAAACACTTTATCGTCGGAAAGGTACCGCGCAAACACCTCATCGTCGTTAAGTTACCGAGTAAACACTCCATCGTCTGTAAGTTACCGGGCAAACACTTTATCGTCGGAAAGGTACCGCGCAAACACCTCATCGTCGTTAAGTTACCGAGTAAACACCTCATCGTCGATAAGTTACCGAGTAACCACTTCATCGTCAGTAAGTTTCCCAGTAAACACTTAATCGTCGGTAAGTTACCAAGTAAACACTTCATCACTGTATTCTGGTATTGGGGGAGCTAATCCGCGACGTCCACTTCATCGTCGGTAAGTTACCGCGTAAACAATTCATCATCGGTAAGTTAAACAGTAAAAACTTCATCGTCAGTAAGTTACCCAGTAAACACTTCATTATCGGTAAGTAACTGAGTAAACACTTCATCGTCAGTAAGTTACCGGGTAAACACGGCATCGTCGGTAAGTTACCCAGTAAACCCCTCATCGTCGATAAGTTACCGAGTAAACACTTCAGGTCGGTAAGTTACCGGGTAAACACGGCATCGTCGGTAAGTTACCGCGTAAACAATTCATCATCGGTAAGTTTCCCAGTAAAAACTTCATCGGCGGTAAGTTTCCGGCTAAACACTTCAACGTCGGTAAGTTACCGAGTAAACCCTTCATCGTCGCTAAGTTAACGAGTAAACACTTCATCGTGGGTAAGTTACCGAGTAAACGCTTCATCGTCGGTAAGTTTCCGGGTAAACACTTCATCGTCAGTAAGTTTCCCAGTAAACACTTCATCGTTGGTAAGTTACCGAGTAAACGCTTCATCGTCGGTAAGTTTCCGGGTAAACACTTCATCGTCGGGAAGTTACCGAGTAAACACTTCATCATCGGTAAGTTACCGAGTAACCCATTCATCGTCGCTAAGTTACCGAGTAAACACTTCATCGTCTGTAAGTTACCGGGTAAACACTTCATCGTCGGTAAGTTACCGGGTAAACAATTCATCATCGGTAAGTTACCCAGTAAAAACTTCATCGTCGGTAAGTTTCCGGCTAAACACTTCATCGTCGGTAAGTTACCGAGTAAACACTTCATCGTCGGTACGTTACCAAGTAAACACTTCATCGTCGGTAAGTTACCGAGTAAACACTTCATCGTCGGTAAGTTTCCGGGTAAACACTTCATCGTCGGTACGTTACCGAGTAAACACTTCATCGTCGGTAAGTTACCGAGTAAACACTTAATCTTCGGTAAGTTACCGGGTAAACACTTCATCGTCGGTAAGTTTCCGGGTAAACACTTCATCGTTGCACGCTACCATAAGGAAGAATGCCAATGTGTTGTGGCAGGGGACATGTTTTATATCATGACTAGGCAATTCCAATGTGCTGTGATAGAGGACATGTATTATATCATGACTTGAAAATTTGATGTGGTAGGGGACATGCATTGTATCATGACTAGGCAATGTGTTGTGGTAGGGAACATGTATTATATCATTACTAGACAATGTGTTGTAGTAGGGGACGTGTATTATATCATTACAAGACAATGTGTTGTGGTAGGGTACATGTATTATATCATTACTAGACAATGTGTTGTGGTAGGGTACATGTTTTATATCATTACAAGACAATGTGTTGTGGTAGGGGACATGCATTGTATCATGACTAGGCAATGTGTTGTGGTAGGGTACATGTATTATATCATTACAAGACAATGTGTTGTGGTAGGGGACATGTTTTGTATCATTACAAGACAATGTGTTGTGGTAGGGTACATGTATTATATCATTACTAGACAATGTGTTGTGGTAGGGTACATGTTTTATATCATTACTAGACAATGTGTTGTGGTAGGGGACGTGTATTATATCATTACTAGACAATGTGTTGTAGTAGGGGACGTGTATTATATCATTACAAGACAATGTGTTGTGGTATGGTACATGTATTATTTCATAACAAGACAATGTGTTGTGGTATGGTACATGTATTATATCATTACTAGACTATGTGTTGTGGTAGGGTACATGTATTGTATCATTACTAGACAATGTATTGTGGTATGGGACATGTATTATATCATTACTAGACAATGTATTGTGGTAGGGGACATGTATTATATCATTACTAGACAATGTGTTGTGGTAGGGGACATGTATTATATCATTACTAGACAATGTGTTGTGGTAGAGGACATGTATTGTATCATTACTAGACAATGTGTTGTGGTAGAGGACATGTCTTGTATCATTACTAGACAATGTGTTGTGGAAGGGGACATGTATTGTATCATTACCAGACAATGTGTTGTGGTAGGGGACATGTCTTGTATCATTACTAGACAATGTGTTGTGGTAGGGGACATGTATTGTATCATTACTAGACAATGTGTTGTGGAAGGGG